AGAACACCTCTTATCAACAGGGTGCCTGAATGAAACGTAATTGTACACCTAACCCTTAACTGTACTCCACAAAACCATAATAAAAAATATTGATTAATAAAAAATTTAAAAAAAGAAATAACAAAACAAACAACAACAAAAAAGAATGTTCTTGATGGAACAGTAAAAAGGTATTAATTTTATTATGTTTCAATCCCTGAGTATGTGACTTTTCATTTAAGATGTATATGGAAGTATGATGGTCATCTTGAGGAAAATCACTTGCATTACTGAGTCGTGAGGTAAATTGATTGCTTTTTTATGGAACCCTCATTTTTCCTTGAAGGAACAACTGACACACAAACTATAGTTATTTAGACTTGGATATTTGGCACTTTAAGGAAAACAACTGACACTGTTTATTGCCAATGCGCTTTCACAAAAATTATAATTGGAACTCTTGATATATGAGCTTAATGGTTTCCTAATACTTAAAGACTTGTCTAGTAAGATTGGTAGTGACATTAATAAATGTGGTTTTTGGATATAATATAATGAAAAGTATCCTCATTTAGAAGAGGGCATAACAAGCCAATATTTTCTAAATGATCAATACATAATGTTAAAAAAATGCATGAATAAAAGATTTATTCAAAGTGTAAGACAGATCAATGGATTTTTATGTAACCTAGTATGAAAAAATTCAGATGCTATTGTATTATTATTCTGCAAGAGCTGCCATAAAGCAGGTTGTGTGGCTTAAACAACAGAAATGTACTTCTTGCAGCTCTGGAGGCTAGAAATTCAATATTAAGGTACCAGCCAATTCGGTTCTCCATGAAGGCTCTCTTTCTGGTTTGTAGATGTCCTGCTTCTTACTGTGTCCTCACAGGGTAGAGAAGAGGGGGGAGAGAGAGGAAGGGGGAGGAAGAATGTGCACTTGGGTACACACTCTTTTAAGGACACTGATCTATCATTATCCCACCCTTATGACCTCACTTAGCCTTATCTTCTTAGACCTTATCTCCAAATAGTCAACCTGGGGGCCAGGGCTTCAACATATGCATTTTTGAGGGGGACACAAATTCAGTTCATACAAGATATGGTTTCATCAGACAAGTCTGGGTATTATAAGAAAAAAAAGATGATATGGCTTCAGATTTTAGATTGCAACTCACTTTTGAGAAACTATTTGTTAAATGTTGGTATAGTACAAAGATGATAATCCACAGTTATAAAAAAATATTAAAATGTCCCTTTCTTTTCCAACTTTATTATCTGTCTGAAGCTAAATTGTGTTCATATACCTCAACCCAAACAACTAATTTTAACAGACTAAATATAGATCCAGTTTAATTTCTTCTTTAAGACAAACAGGAAAGAGTTTAGTAGTTGAAACAGAGACCGTAGGGTCTATAAAGCTGGAAATATTTACTATTATAGGAAAAATCTGTCTAATCTAGGTGATTCCTTCACTTCTTTCCTGTATTGGATCATTTCCTGGGTTTCATGTCTTCTTCTTTCTTGATTTACTACTCCTTAATTCACAGCAACTTTCTGAGGAAAGCTGTATGAGAAGCATTTTTTTTTTTTTTTTTGAGATCTTGCATGTCAGAACATTTCCTTTCCTATTCTTGCATTTTATTAAGAGCTTAGCTGGGCAAGAATTTTAGCATGGAGATTATAATCCATCAGAAATTAATAAGATTTGCTTCTCTGTCATCTAGCTTCTAGGGTTGTGATAGAAAAGTCTGAAGTTACTCTGATTTCTGATCTACTGTATGTGACCTTTTCCTCTTTCTTAGAAGCCTATAGGGGATTTTCTTTGTCGCCAGTGTCTTGGAGATGATGTGTCTCTACCACTGTGCTAGACACACTGTCCTAAACCCGTTCAATATGGAAAGTCATATCTTTCAGTAATGGAGCACTTCCTAGAATTATTTACTTATTTATTAGCATATGTATGTATGTATGTATGAGACAGGATCTCACTATGTTGCCTAGGCTGGTCTCAAACTCTTGGCCTTAAGCAATCCTCCTGCTCGGCTCCCCAAAGTTCTGGGCTTACAGGTGTGAGTCACCACACCTGGTCTGAAAATTACTTTTGTTGGTCATTTCTTCCCCTGTTTTCTTTGTTCTCTATTTCTGAAATGCTTACTGAGTAGATATTGGATATCTTGGACTAGTCCTCTAATTTTCTTACCTTTTCTATCTCTTTCTGGGATAATTCCTCAACTTTACCTTTCAACAAAAATCTTGAATCTTCATTTCTTCTACCATGTTTCTAATTCCTAAGAACTCTTTTTCCCCCTCCAAATATTTCTTTTTTTAAAAGTATCCAGATTTTGTGATATAGATATTCTCTCTTTAAAAAATTCTCTGAAGATATGAATGATAGTTTCTTTCCCCTGCTTAGAGGCTTTCCTCTTAGTTCATACATGAAAGTGAAATCCTAAAAAGTTCTTATTGTCCGGGTGGAACTCACTATTTGTAAGCTTTATTGTAGAAAGAAACAGCTGGGTTGTTGGTTGGGAAACCCTTATGGTTAGTATCTTCACATCTTTATTCTTTACTACTCAGATTCTTCAGAGAAAGTTTTTCCCATCTCCTGACTTAAGGGTATATAGGCCTGGCTACCAGAATTCATGGGTTGGTGGGGAAAAGAAAGCTGGTATTCTCACCTACATAACCAATGCTTGTATACCTAACCCTGAATTGTACCCCCACATCTTTAGTAAAATAAAATAAAATAAAATAAGAAACAAACAAACAAAAAAAGAAAGCTGGCATTCTTACCATTCAGTATGCCAACACTCAATCTCCCTTAAGGCGCCACTACCATTAAGTATGTTTGGTGTCCTCTAGTTCAGATACTCTTATTTCTCTCCTGTATAGAGAACAAATGTCTGGTGTTCTGCTAAGTTACGGGAAGCAATCTTCTTTTTTTATAATTGGAGAAAAGGCACACATTTTCTCTAGCATGTATAAAAGGGGATAATCACAGAATGGCCACCCTGCAATCTTTTGAAATAAACTTTCAACCAATACTGTTGTTAGCTTCATGTTCATCCACTCCTCCCCTGCCTTCTAGAGTTATCTGGTGCTGTCAATTTCTGAATTTTTTAAGGTTCTGCTATGTAAAGTGGGTTGTTTCTTGGCTTCCTCTATTGCTGGCTCAGGATTCAGCTTTCTCAGGACTGCTAAGTCAGTTACCACTCATCCATCTGCAAACCAGCTTCCAAAATTCTGTTGCTGTTGTCTCCTCTCCCACTCTCTTTGTTCTTGTGGGTTTATGTCTTTAAAAAAAATCACTTTACTGTTGTTTCAGTGAGGTTTTGGGAGGGAATGAAAGTAAATGCGGGTATTGAATCTTCCATCTTTATTTGAAACCTCTTTATAATAAAATATATTTTTTAACTTCCATTTAATATTACAGTATAAACACTTCCCATGTTCCTCCATGGTCTTTGTAAACAGCTGTAATAATTGCATAACTGCAATTATTGTAATAATTTCATTGAGTAGGTACCATATTTTACTTAATCATGACCCCATTTTTGGATGTTTGACATTGTTTCTGTTTGGGTGCAGGGGAATAGTTTTTCCTAGAGTCATCTTTCTTTTATCACTCTCATTTATTCCCTACATCTAAGAATACCTGGTGACATTCTTCTCCACTCTGTTGTTCGTTTGTGGTTCCATCACCTTGTGCCTTGATTATGGCGCTACATCGTTAAGTTATCTTCACAGGTCTATAATACTGAGTGATCTATCACAGAAACAAAGAACTGAGAATCACATGTTCTCACTCATGAGCGGACCCTGAACAATTATCATTATACTATAAGTAAAAGATTGGCAGTAGTGGGAAACTGCCAGGGGAAGGTGGGATGCGGAATTGGTATTAGTGGGAATCTGCTGGTAGAAAGAGGGGCACACCTCATCAATAAAGGTACCTGCATAATGAACATTTGTATACCTAACCCTGAATTGTACCCTACATCTTCAAAATAAAAAAATTAAAAATTAAAGAAAAAATCTTCACAGCTCCAGTCATTCTGCACAATGATGCAGCACTCATCTTTCTAACATCTAACTGTTCTCATGACACTTCAGAGGAACCCTAACACAAATGTAATTCATTTGTGACTGGAATTTGAGCTTTTCCATAGTTTGATTCCACCCTACCTGGGCAAACTCTCCCCTTTTCCCCCAAGTATCTTTCTCCAAACAGGTGCTGCTCTCCTAACTGCAGCTGGAGCTGCCTCTCCTGCCTTTGTCAATCCCCATTTACCCTCATTTAAACCCTATTTCCTACACTAAGCCTCTCCCACCACATTTCTTTGCTTACACAATTTCTTCTTTCACCTGATAATAGATAAGAAACAAGTCACCCGCTTTGAAGTGCTAAGGGTCAGTCTTGCCTTCTCAGTGAGATTAAGGCAGGGGCTCTTACATTTCTTCTCTATGGTGGCTGCCCCATACCTCCCTTGTCCCACCACCATGGTACCCCAACCCAGGGCTTACCACAATTCACGGGATGGAATGGAGGTAAGTGGAGATAGAACAACAATGTGTAAGTTGTTACCTTGCCCTCTGGGGTCAGTGTCCAGATCACAGAGAAGGTCAGCTTGTCAGTCATGGGATTGAGACTACACAGCTCCTCACACAGCAGCCTGGGAAGCATGGGGATCACCTGCAAACAGAGGACAGGCCCATGAGCATCTTTCTCCAACCCACAGAAGTTTGTTCCAGGCTTAGGAGAAGCACAGAGGGCAGGATTTTGGTGAACAGCTTCAGTTTTTTCCAGAGCAAGCTGAAGATAGAGGTGGCTCTGTTCCCAAAGACTCTACAGAAAGACCACACTATCTTTACGTTTCTAGTCTCTAGAGTCAAATGGGAAAGTGAGAAGAGCTAGTAACAGAAAGTAAAAAGTCCTTTGTAGCAATGAAAAATAGTTACATTTGAAGATCTACTAAAAACCGCAAGTTTCAAACTCAAGAACGACTTGTGCTTTTGGACATAACTATTCCAGTTGAACTATATACTAATATATACTTAAGAACCTGAGGGCTGAGTATAAACTCTTGACAGAGTTTCATCAATGTAAAATCAAGCTGTTGTTGAATCAATGCTTTAGTAATTTAACACACCACAATTTACCAAATTACAAGTTGGAACACTAACAGGATACTCTAATAAAATATCACTAGTGCAATAAAACTGAAAGAGTCATAAATCAAGGTTTCCCAGATGAGCACTTTTGTCAACTAGTTACCCATTTTGCAGTTCTTTAAAGCCTAAATGATTTCTTCTCTATATTGACTGCTGTATCCTATAATAAATGGAGTTATTCTTTAATTAATTTTTCAACTTAGTTTCAAATGATGCCTTACAGTTGTCCCAAAATATTACTTGTTTTTTCTAAAATTTCAAAGATGCAACAAATACTTCTTCCTGTGTCTCCTGAAGATACTTCAAACTCTTCCCCACCTATCTTTAAATCTGTTTCTTCTCCCATATTTTTCTTGATTAATGGCATTACCATCCACTCCACCTCTCAAACTAAAGACATCAGCAATACCAACCAGTTACTCAACACACTTACTGTGGCCCTCCCTAGTGTGTGGTGTTGAGCATGGGTAACACCATAACCACGGCCTAGTTAACTGAGAAGTGATAGGCAAGAGGGCAACTATGCTGTAGTTGAGATAAATTTAACTAATTAATATTTTTTTAATCAGCAGAAACAAAACAAACCTCAGTGGTTTCTTATTCTGTGTGAGGTGTGCCTGTATCTATACTCTGCTTGAGTACAGTAAGTATCTTCGGTATAAAATAGTAAATTCTAGAACTCATGGTCCACACAAGTAAAAAATAACTTAAAATTATTTGGCATTATTCTAAAATATGCTGTATCTTTTAACATCTAAGTAAAACTAATGACTACTTGAAAGCTTTGGTAATAGCTTTTACAAAAAAATTTTTCCTTGCCATTGCTTTTACGCCATCAGTTCAGATGACACTATATTTTTTTTGTTGACTTATTTACTGGTGCATTAAAGTGTGATCTAAATATTTATTGTTTTCTTGTACATGTAAAGTGTGTTAAAAATAATACAGCCAGGCATGGTGGCTCAAGCCTGTAATCCCAACATTTTGGGAGACCGAGGTGAGTGGATTGTCTGAGTCCATGGGTTTCAGAACAGCCTGGGCAACTTGTTGAGACCTCATCTCTACAGTAAATTTAAAAAATTAGCCAGGTGTGATAGCGCACGCCTGTAGTTCCAACTACTTGGAAGGCTGAGGTGGAAGGTTCGCCTAAGTCCAGCAGGTCAACGCTGGTGTGGCCATGATGGTGCTATTGCACTCCAGTCTGGGCAACGGAGTGAGGCTTCAACTCAAATAATAATAATAATAATAATAACAACAACAACAACACATCTTTACCTCTGTAAACACATTGCACAAAATGGAGAATTACAATATCTATCATATTGTCTCATGATCGAATTATAAAGACTTCATATCATTTCAGCCTTTGGACTATGTTAGGGACTAAACTGTCCCCCACAAGCTTCATAAGTTGAAATCCTAACCCCCATTATGACTGTATTTGGAAATAGGGTCTTTAGGAGGTAATTAAGGTTAAACGAGGTTATAAAGGTGGGGCCCTAATCTAATAGGACTTTATGAAAAGAGGGAGAGATAACACACACTTTCTCTCTGCAAGTGGGCACAGAGAAGAGGCCAAGTGAGGACACAGCCTTATACAAGCCAAAAAGACAGCCCTCACAAGGAACTGAATTGGCCAGCACCTTGATCGGGAATTTCTAACCTCCAAAAATGTGAGAAAATAAATTTCTGTTGTTTGAGCTACTCAGTCTACGGTATGTTGTCATAGGGGCCTGGGCTAACTAAGACACCCTAAATCAAGTGTATTGGGTATGCATTCTTGTATTCTCCTCTGGGCTGCATTAGCAGATAATTATACCAACTGTATTTTAGTAGCTTGCATGCTTGTTGCAATGATATTAGACAAGACATTAATAGTATTTTTGTTTTTTACAGATAATTAGTGTTTCTTCTAAGTGTTCAAGGTAGTATTCACTTTAAATAACAAAGCTGAGTACCTGATAGAACATAATTCCTGACTTCATGTTTTAGTGTTTGTCAAAAGAAAGTCATTACAACTTGGACCTAGACTGGACTCTGGAACAGAAAGAAAACACTGATGGAAAAACCTGGTGAAATTCAATAACATATAGAGTCTAGTTAATAATAATGTTCCAATATCAGTTTCTTAGTTATAACAAATGTAGCATGGTAATATAAGATGCTAGCAATGGAGGAACTTGGTGTGGAGTATATGGGACCTGTCTGTACTATCCTTGCAACTTTCCTGTAAATTTAAAAGTAGTCCAAAATAAGCTTTGGCCCCCTCCCCTACCTTGGGGAGGTGAATCTACTCTTTCTCTCTAATTTACTTTCTAAATAAACTTTATTTTCTAATCTAAAAAAAGAAGTCCAAAATAAATGAGCTCATTAAAAATAAAGTCACTATTTTCATTAAATGATCTTGTGTTATAAATGTAAATTTGAAACAAATTTATGCTAGTTAGACTAATGAAAACCTGATCTGTTTCTATATACTGGAGCTTGGGATTCAGATTTTATTTATGAAAATGGCTTCGTGACTTAAAAAACAAACGAAAACAAGGTCTAAAGCCCTTTACATCAATTGATTGAGAGGCACTCATCAGCAGCACTGAAAAAAAAAAAGAAAGAAAGAAAAGAAAAAAGAGAAAAGGCTTTGAAGACTGAGAGGCTTAGGGTCTAATCTTGGGCCCACCGCTTTCTGTACAATTTGGGCAAGTTAGTATAATTTTGAATCTTGGTTTTCTTATTAGTAAAACAATATTAAAAATGTTCAGTAAGTCAGCTTGCTAGCCTGCTCATGGTGACTGAGGTGCTCTGTCACCTGACTCAGTCTTCCCCTTCAGCCTACCACCATGGTCCTCCCCTTTGGCACCAGAAATGCCAGCCACAAGAGTCTTCCTGTTGTAACCCCTCCACCTGCCTGTGCACCGCTCTAGCTCTTGCATGCATTGTTCCCTCTTTCTGTAACATCTTTCTGGATGTTCTGTATCTAGCAAGCTTTTGCCCATCCTTTCAGATTCAGCTCGCTGCCACCTCTAAAAGGCTTACCAAAATCCCCTAGGAAAAGTATATACTTTGTTTTGGGCACCTCCCTGTCCTTTCAAAGGCGATTTGGGGCAATCCTAAATAGCCAATCACTTATTCCATCCTCTCTGCTCTTCAACAACACTTCCAAAGCTCTCCCACTTTACATCCCAATTGCTTCTTCAGGTGCCTCTAGTATCACTAGACAAGGGGGATCCTCAGGAACAAGGGCCAGGTCTTGTTCCTGCCCCTCTCTACAGTACCTGACACATGGTAGGCACTTCTAGTTTACAGATGACTGACTTTCACCCAGGAAATGAATCATCTATTTTTTTCTATGCTTACTATTTATTACATCATATAAAACATTTAATGAAATACACAGTAGACTTCTGTTTAAACATATTTACAAAAAATTTCACAGGCAACTAGTATTTTAAGTATAAGGTAAACTGTTTTGGCTACTCCATTATAAAACCTATCAGCACACTTGGTGGCTGGCTAGGTTTTAAAAACTGTCTGGTGTCCAGCATCTTATACAGAAGACATTTTATTACTCACACTGCAATGGTCAGATGCCAAAGAACTTAAGTGCTGACAAGGAAGCTAAATATTAAAACTTTTTGGATAGTATAATTATATTTAATTTTAAAAGGGCATTCCTTTTAATAAATGTTCACCAGATCTTGAGGCAAAATTCAGACAAAATTCAGAGAAAACACTCTTTCTGTCCATATAGTTTTGTAAACAGATTGTTATTTCTTCCGTCTTTCAAAAGAAAAGGAATTAAGACATTACAATCACACTTGTGGTTTGGCACATCAAAGTCTCTCATAAATTGGGCCTGATTCCTGCTGGGGTCACTGTGAATGTTTTCTCCCACAACCCCAGCCACAGCAGGGATCCCTGTGTAAGAGGGCTGGAGAAGCAGGCAGCTCCTCCCAATATCCTGCTTCCTAATATCCAAGTTCTGTTATGTCAGGGGGAGACCCACCCAGACCATGGTGCAATAGTCCACGCAAACACATCAGTTATATGAGGCCTGCCAGGGTACCTGGAGAGCCTCTGCGCCAAGGTGATAAGTGTGGAACATCATGTATGACTGGAAAAGGTCTCTCCAGGAGCTGAGAAACTCCTGGTTCTCATTAGCACCATGCAAATGACTGACCCCTTGATATTTTTCCCCAGTCTTATCCCATCTTGCCCTCATTACCTTCACTACTCAGTATAAGCAACATGGATAATTCCTTCAAAGTTCTTTTAACTCCTTCACTTCTACTGCCCCAACTGCACAGACTCCGTGATCAACTTTTGCAAGTTCTAGCTGAGCAGTGACGGAGAAAATGCTGGGCCGTGTGAAGGCATATCACTAAAGTGGTTTAGCTCTTGCCTCCTGGAGGCTGGCAGGTTTTTCACTTGTCTTTAGTTTCTTCCCCATGCCCTTCATACATGATCCCAAGACATTACTACTCTCAAACCTCCTGACTGCCTCCGCAGTTTTTTTTTTTAGCA